TTTTTTTTTTCTTTTCGAATCTAAGTTTGTTTATCTCGCGTTTGTTCCGTCTCGCTCCACGAAGGATAATTTCGGACAGGCTCGTCGGATAGGATCGATGACTTCCGCGATGGAGCGGAGAGAACATGTTGCATTAGACACAGTGTACCGAGAGGCTTGTAATTACGGATTAAATCTCCAACGATTTTCGCTTGCACGCCGATTACACTGCACCACAACGCGTTCCAACGTGTGTGTCTACACGTGTACCGTGTAATATTCGCTACGGGCTGCGGAGCATACAGAACCGACACGTCCAACGAAACGAAAGGTATTAGACAGATGTGGAATATATCGTGAATATGGAAATTGAACGTTTCGTTTAATAAAAATCGAAATCAATTTAGTCGGTGGATACGAGAGGATTTTACCAAGCTTTTGTGCTTTTATGCTTCTTTCTTTTTTTTTTTTTCTTTCATCTGTTTTTTTCGAGATTTAGTTTTATTCGATCGAAGTGAAATTTGCGAAAATTTATTAATATTGTGGTATGAATGTGGAAAAATTTATTTTTTAATTAAATAAGAAGAATTGAAGCTCGTTTAAGCCAGTATATATCCATCTCGTGTATTTCTCCCTCTTCTCTTTCCTTTTCTCGTGATCTAATGACATTGCGGATCGGATGAAAAATTTTATATCTCAAAAATACATCTTAAGAACTTCGTTTCAATCGTCTTATTATTATAATCCGAGTTGGCAATCGCTAATGGAGTGGAACAAATTGATTTCGTCAAAGATACGAATTAAAGGCTGGATTGAAAAATAATGTAACATTCTTGGATAGCCGAAAAAAAAAAGAAGAAAAGAATCGAAACGTTCATTTTATCGAATCGAAATTTAACGCTTTAATGAAACCGAGAGAAAAAAGAGCGCATAATTTACCATAATTTTGAATTTGTTTCGATTCATCGACCGTTCAACACCGACTAAAAATATACATCGCAGATACGCGGATGAAAAAGAAGAAAAATATGAAACGCACGGTGAAAATACATAAAACCAATCATTAAGAGTGTTTAAACAAAACGACCAGAATCCATACAACTTCTTCGTATTTCCATTTTTCGTAATTTCGAGCGTTATCGAGCAACTGCGCGGTAATTTTCTTGGATCGATCGCCATACTGATACTGCAATTTCGCGACTTCGTATCAATTTTATCGAATCCCGTGTCCACTGGACGCGTGGACGACGAGTTATGCAATAGAAGTCGCGATCGAGGCCATAAGAATAAAGAATAAAGGAAATGGGAAAAACTTAGTGGATGATAAACCGAGACGAATTGGTATCACGTATGCAAATCGTGTTGTTCATCCGTCCACGTTAATCGTAATTCGAGCCAAAGTTTCTCCCCATCGTTATCCGAGATATCCGTACGCAAAAGCACACGTGAAAACACGTGTTCCCTAGTGTTGTGTTGCGTGGAAGAGTATATCACCAGGGAATACCAATTAATTATAATACCATACCAAAACGAGTCCGTCTTCCTAAGTGCAATTAGAATGAGAAGAAAACGAAAATCGAAACTGGAGGAACGAAAAAAAGTCGAAAACGAGAAACAACAGGGTTTACAGAATTTTTCTAGAATTACCACGCGCCTAATCTAGACGAGAGATCTAACAAAGATTAAACATTCCGCTGTGTAAAAAAAATTCCTCCCGTAAATTTATTAAATTAATCGCATTTCATGCGAGCACACAATACGTTTTTTATCGTATTTTACACTCCGCGGTCTGGTTCGTGGTGGATCTGCTATAAATTCAATTAAACCACTAGATCCACCACACTCTATCCCTATAATTACTCGTATAACTCGAGAAACGAATGAGACAAGGATGGAAAAACGAGGAGGAGGGATGTTATTATTCCTAATTATGGATGGCCGGTAACCGTCATGGATTATTGATTCTAGCGTATATAACTCGAATGTGCGGACAAGGGAAAAAGGACAAGAACAAAGATCTCGTTGATACTTGGATCTCGTCGATCCTTGGATGGGTTCCGCGATGCCGTTCATCAGGTCGAGTAACGAGCTGCGGTAACCGCGTTACATGCGTCCAACAGTTTCCTATCCAAGAACTCTCTCGTATGAAGACGTACGAGGGGATAAACCGTTCCAGAGGGCCTCTTATTAACAAACCACCGGGTGAGATCGCGTGCGGCCGGCCCTCCTCAATTTTACGAGACCGCAACTGGCCGTTCCTCTCGCTCGAGGCCTTTTTTTCCTTCTCGCCTCTCTTCTCGTATTGGAAACGCGTGGAATAATTTTCGCAGCTTCCCTCGTAATTTCGTTATTTATTCATTTCGTTAGAAGATGATCCCTGTATTTCTCTGCGAGGAAGTCTGTGACGTACTTCCAAAAGAACTTGATAAGAATTCGAAGAAATTGAAGTTTCATTTTGAAAAAGAAGAAAACGAGGAAGAAAGGAAAGAGAGATGGAAAGGAATTAAACGAGTTGATAATTCGGGTCGGAGGTAAAAGCAGTAGCGTATTTAGTTGGATTAAAGTTCATAGAGAAACTGGTTGTTACCGAGATGCTGCCAGTTACGTAAGCACCGTTTGACCCTATCGGTTAGGGGTTAATAATTGAGGAAACGAGCATGAATAGCTTGTCAGCGTTTCACAGCAGATTTCTGAGATGTGCACAATTTCTATTTAGAGACTGGCAATTATTGAATCCTTCAAGGAAGAAGGACGGGGGGGGGGGAGGGAGAGGGAAACCCGTGGTCGGAAATCCAAGTATATCTGTTACACGAAAGCGTGGAAAGATTTTGCCGCCTCTTGCCTGTATTGTTAACAAGAGTCGTTATTCTTTATGCAGTCCTCGTTCGACTACACGGAATTATGCCCCGGTGGAACGGCCGCTGGAGCTGCTGTGGTTCTCGAGAGCGGTGCTGTTATACACCACCAACCATTGCAGCTGCAGCTACAACAAAGTCACGCGCAGGCACAGGTGCAACGGGGAGCTTTGGTGTCCTCCGCGGCGACCAACTCCAATCCTAACCCGAATCCGCCGAGGTCGCGGCCTTGGCACGATTTCGGAAGGCAGAACGACGCGGACAAAATCCAGATACCAAAAATGTGAGTACCTGTAATATAATATGCGTATCTACAAATTCGTCGTGCATAAAATAGGAAAGGAAAAGGATTCTCGAACGATAAGAGCGAGAATCTTATCGTTGTCTCTCTAACCTATACACAGATATCGTAATAAAGCGCGGCGGGTAGGCGTCGGTGCAAACAGGAGCAGAATGTGTTTGCAGGCCGTTCACCCGGGCCAGGCTCGGTTATCGGCTGGCAACGCGCTGTCCTGCTTGCCCTCCGCCAGGTGGAATGGAAAAAACGCGGCAAAATACGAAACGGAGACGCGTGTCGTCGCGCAAGATAAAGATAATAGGTCGGCGGCGAAAAGTTGGCCGTTATATACAGCGATAGGCCATTCTGGGGAAAAGTTTCCTTCGGATAAGGATAATCGCGCCTTTTATTTCGATTTTCGCGGCACTATATTTAGAATGGTTAAGACTGTGTTGATCGCAGCGGGAGAAACCAGTAGCCGGAGTAACGTCGCGTAATGAGATGTTGAAAATCGGTTTCCCGGGGATTTCGATCGTGAAAGTTTGAAATAATTCGGTTTGAAAATGGGGCGATTCGAGGGGGAAAGAAATTAAGAGGATTCTTGGATTATTCGTTACTTTTCAAAATAAAGATTTTTTTTAATTGAAATGGAAAATACGCGTATCGATATCATACGCGGTATGTGAATCAATGTGAAAGATTAAAAAAACAATTTCAGATGTATCATCAGTTGTATCGTGGCAATTGACGTCATTCATTCGGAATATTTGCAACGAAAACCGCAAATATTGTGTGAAATATTCATGGAACGAGTTAATAAAATAAGATTCAGTAAAAATAAAATTGCAAAAATATAAATATATATAAGTGTAAATTATTTCAACGTCACATGATCGTTATTTTTTTGAACTATCTGATAAAATTTTAATTGTATCTTAATATATGAAAATTAGATGTTTTCTACGGATAAACAGACAGCAAAATCATTTATTATTCACGCATTGACACTATCAAATCCTTATATTTTTTTCTATATATGTCGATAAATCAATATATTATTATTAACTATCAATATACGTTAAATTATTTCAATAAATAAAGAATGATTATATTTTTTAATGTTCTAAACGCAGATTCTCCGCCTATGGATTCAAGTATCATCTAGAGTCACCAATTAGCACGTCGCAGCGTCGAGAGGACGATAGAATCACGTATATTAATAAAGGACAATTCTATGGAATCACGCTAGACTATGTTCCTGATCCTGACAAACCTTCTTTAAAGGCTGGCCAGACTGTTAAGGTAAAATTAAATATTATTAAGAAAAAACACGAATATACTATAAGATAAATATACTAAGATATTTAACATAAATTTACAATTAATCATATAATTTTATAATAATTATATGATTTATTGGATTATTATTATTATTATCTACATATATCATTTCGAATCTAGTTTGAAATTTTTCTATCTAACTTACGATCTAAACTTTGATTCTGATCAACGGAATAAAAATATAATCGGAATGAGTTACGTATAATTATAAAGTCTTATATTGTTTTTGTTCAGCTATAATTAATATGTAACGTTTGTGAGTTATAAATATAATATCAGTAATGATAATCATGCTTGAGAAATTGCTCGTTTCAAAATAAAATATAATAATAATAAAAAATTTTTTTAATACTTTTAAAAATAATCATAAAAAAAAAATTGACATATTTATAACAAGAAATATACGTCCAATTCTCAATGTTTCAAAGTTCAAGACAATCGCCCTCTAGCGTTCACTATAATAAGCAGCGTACAGGATACGCTGTATGTACATGTGACGCCAAAAATCGGTTGGCTATAAAGTATAACATATATAACACGACACATATGCAATGCACACTATGTATAATATCGTTATGCGGTGGTATTCCTCTTAAATCGCATTAAGACTTTGCATAGCATTACGTGCTCGATCTCCGACTCCTACGAGCAATAGAATTCATGCAGCTCGTCGAGACGCTTGCATCGAAAGAAGAAGTCGGACGAGGTCGTTTGTTCTCGCGGCTCTAATTGGCAGTATGGCGCACCGTTAGCAATTTCCATTCTGATAAAGTTGCCGATTCTTTTCTCCCCCCTTCTCTATCCCCTTTGCTAGGAGTTACGACTTCCTTGTTAATTGCTAATCGAGCGTCTAGCCGCGTAGCAAATCGAACGAACTAGCTACATACATGTATACACACAAGCAGAGACTCACAAGTACAAATTCATCATTTATTTACTTACTTCCCCTCTATTACTTTATCTTATTCTATCCACTTACCTTTTTTACTGTTGTGGTTCTTCTCCTTTGTTCGCTCCCATTTGCTCTGGTATTGTTGTTTCTTTTCTTTCTTCTACCTCTGTAGCGTTATAACTTATCCTCTACTTTCCCCATTTTGTTTTCTTGTTTTCTTATAGCTTCCATCCTTCTGCATATTCATCTTACGTATTATTCGTTATGCCTGTCGATATTCGTAGCGTATATTTCTCTTGTTGCTTTCACAAACTGATTCTCTCTCTCAACGAACACTTTCTCCGTCTTTTTTCACGTTAACTTTGGTCTATCGATAAAGCTGTATTCCTTGGTGCACACAATTCTTCGTTCATTCACCCGAATCACGAAAAATTCTTCTTGGCGTCGCTAGCGAACACGGGTGCGCACCAATCTGCGCAGTGAAGCGTGCTTCTGTCGCGGCAACCGATGTCACGCTCACGTGAAGCCTTATCATTGGCGGCTGAGCAACGCTGATTTTTCATTGGCACTACCACACCACCGACACACTATTAAATGATTGCCTGATTCTAAATTATTTGTCGACAATCTGTATGTAACTCACGGTAGAAACATTAACCCGCGAAAATGGCCCGAGGACACGTGTTGTAACTGGTTCGCGAAGGTTAAAGTTATCTGATCTCATGGTTTAAACGGCGGGACAATAAGGAACTGTATAAATACGCGATAGAAGTCTCTATTCTCTCGCATTGGTCACGCACACTATGTATTATATACTTCCACTATGAATTTGATAATATTCCAATAACAATTTTTCTCTCTTTATCAAATCGTATTATCACATATCGTATTAAGTATCAAGTATTATACAGCGTTTGAACATTCGAATATTTAAAAATTTTCAAGCTTGTTAAAACCTAAGATGATAATTTTATCCCTTCAACGAAAATGATTGCAATCATTTTAGAAGATTTATTCTCTTAGCCTCACTCGTAAGAAAACTATTAACAATATTTCCTTGATAAATTGACTGCGGCGAAATTCTCGAATATCTTCTATCTTAGTTTTTATACACTCTTAAGAACTATAAAACTTTTTTTTCACAATTTTGCATGGAAAAACTTTATATTCCGTAATTATACGATGCGACACGATGCAACGCGACGTAACGCGACTTGCTACAAACTATCGAAACTCGCCATATTAATCGAACGTTAGAATCGTTCGATTAATCGTTCGATTAAACGTTCGATTAATCGTTCGATATCAGGCGCGAAAGAAAGCAATAGAAAAATGGCGGGGAAGTTGTCTTTCTCAATTAATCAATGTAATTACACTTCACCGTTTCAGATATTTTTACCAATGAATCACGATCACCCAACTAGACGTATTGCCAATGAAAAAATGTTGAAAACGCGGTTATCTAAGGATACACGACCGTTTATTGGGAATTAGTAGTGTCGAATGGTGCAATTTATGCTACTGGATTATATGGTGCAGCGTGATTTATATGCATGTGTATGTGCACGGCTGCTCGCTCGAGCGTGTCCTATGTCACGCTCACGCGAATTTCGCGTTTCGCGCGACCGATGTGTCAGCAGATTCCGCGACGGTGTTCCGTTACCGACTGAGCATTGTTTCGTCCCTCCAAGAATCATTGTGGATAAATGATATTTACTGAGAATAGCGTGGTGCTCGTCATTATGCGTAAAATTTGAAAAATTTCGTGGATACGCACCGGATAGACCATTCATTGTAGCCTGTCGATGTTGGAATCTATAATCTATCTATAATCTACGTTACATAATTATACGCTACCGTGTAATTTATGATCCATGTAATTGTGCGTACGCTCCAACTCACTTCTGCATAGCGACACGATACACCGAGAAAGATTTAACCTCTCGATTCGACTTTTTCACATATTTCTCTGGGCACACTATTAATTTTTTATTACGTACCCTTTTAAATATCCGATATCTCAATTGTAATTTCTAAGAATTAAAAAAATAAGCTCAAGGATAGGAAAGATTGTTGTTTCAAGTTAAACACATATTTGCGTTCGAAGCATCAAATTATAGTCACTTTTGTGTTCAATCGGTGATTCTATATCCTATCAAATGTTCGTAATCATCACCTTCTGTGTTAAACGCGAGTTGATTATTATTACATATCTGTGGCTATTTAGATCTACAGATATCAATCAAGCTAATTGTAAATAGATGAGTAGTTTCGCCTCATATTAGTAGTTTTTCGAAAGAAATTGCAGAACAAGATAATAGTTACAATTATACGTTAAATTTAACCGAAAGAAAAACAGTTGGTGATAATAGTTGTAAAAAGATATGCGCATCCTTAAATTTAAACGATAAAACGATAAAACAGGAATTGCAAGAGTTGGTAACGAAAAAGGTTGCTTAAGCTTGTCGCTGAAAAAAGATGAAAAAAATATAAAAGTAAACGCGTCAGAGCGGAAACCATTCATCTGTCCTTATAGTATCACGCTTAATAAAGTACTTATGTGTTTCTTGATGTTTTGTCGCACAGAGCGTAGTAATGTTGATGTTCCGAGAAGAGAAGAGCCCAGAAGACGAGATTAAGGCGTGGCAGTTCTGGCACGGAAGGCAACATTCTGTCAAGCAACGTATTCTCGATGCTGGTAAGTAAAGCGTGTAGAATCCGCAAGTTCTGCCACCATTAAATCGACCTTAAACAAATCGATTCAAATCAAAATTCCAATTATCTTTTAATAATCGTATTGATAAAATTAATATTAATTTCATAACATGAATTATATGTTTATTATATATTTACATTTTAATCATTTTTTTTTTCGCGCAAGCCGCTTGATAAAGGACGATCTTAATAAATTTGGTAAGATCAAGTAACAGAATCGTATGGTTGACTATTCAAAATAAAATTAGAATAGAAAATAAAAGAACGTGCTCTTTCAACGCACCATAGAATGATTTGCAACTCTAACAACAATTTATATCATTACAGACACGAAGAACAGCGTGGGACTGGTGGGCTGCATAGAAGAAGTTGCACACAATGCGATTGCCGTTTATTGGAACCCACTCGAATCCTCGGCGAAGGTATAAGAGTCCTTCATCGTTCATTAAAGAGATTCCATTTGCATTTAACAATCTGAGGGACTTAAATGGAACTGTGCTTATTCATTCGGTTTAGAGCCGTAAAGTCGAAAAAGTCTCTGTATTTTATCCCAATGATTTTCTACGTACACTCTTATGTATTACAGATCAACGTGGCTGTGCAATGTCTAAGCACCGACTTCTCCAGTCAAAAAGGCGTGAAAGGATTGCCTCTGCATATCCAGGTGGACACGTACGAAGACCCACCGCCACATACTCACACGTACACACCACCCTCGCATCGCGGCTATTGCCAGATTAAAGTGTTTTGCGACAAGGTAGCTACTCCTCTGTGTCTCGATTTCTTTCTCGTTACATCGTTACATCGTTTAACGAATGATTCGAATAAAAAATATATATATATATATGTATACCAACCAGCCAATCTCATGAATCATCTTGGTGTTATTTACGCACAGGGAGCTGAAAGGAAGACTCGTGACGAGGAGAGGAGAGCGGCAAAGAGAAAGATGACGGCGACCGGTAGAAAAAAGCTCGACGAGCTCTATCATTCCGTCACGGAACGCAGCGAATTTTACTCCATGGTCGATCTTCATAAACCCCCGGTCCTCTTCTCTCCACCGGCGGAACACACTATAGACAAGGTACTTGTCAAGATTCTGATTGGATGAAAGTGTTTTAAAAAAGTGTTTATAACTATACGTTTTATTTTATCTTATTTTTTTCACTTTACATAGACGCAAGCATGACGATGCTTTTCTTGAAACATAAAGAGAAGATTGTAGTCAAGAGAATGTTGTATCTAGCTTGGAAATACTGTTTCATTTTCTTCAGTAAAAAAAAAAATTACTTTTACTAATTGAACACTAACACTTTCACGGACACCTACACTATCAAAATCACATTGAATTATCGAACGCGAAAACCGTGAATGTGTTAGCCGCTCGAAAATCAGCACAATTTTGCACATAGTTTGCAATTTGCAAAAGAAAACGAAACTAAGTAGTAGTACCCACCACAATCCTCTGCTCTCAACATCGCCAAAATTCTCCACTAACTCCGCAACTCTTACATCGCCATAACAAAAAAGAACCGTAGCAACTTCCGGGCGGTATCCGAGTGAAATAGCTAGCCAATTATTCAGCATCTGAAAAAAAAAATATATATATATATACTCTGACAGCAAATACAAAATTCTCTGAACACTAAATGAAAGAGTAAAAATTTATACAAACTCGTATATCTCCTCAATATCTAAACTAGAAAATTCGAATTTCTCGCTTTTAGAAACATTGGGTGCAACGTAATTTAATATATGTGATGAAAGTTGTAGCCGATGTACCATGAGAAGTAGCTCGTTTTCGCTAAAATAGAAATGGAAAAATGTATAATTCTGTGTTCCACGACAGTTTTCGACGATGGAGTTGTCGGGCTTCTACGGAGGTGGCGGCGGGGGCGGTGGCGATACAGACACATCGTCCCTGAGTAATGGCGAGGGCGGAGGATTGAAGGCGGGGGGCAGCAGCCCTTATCCTGCCTGCGGCAGACCCAGCTTGCCGGCCTCAAGTTCCACAACCACTTTCCGCCCGACAATCTGACTAGCCTACACGACAAGAAGGACTCCTTGCTGATGCAGGTGCAGGAGCTGCAAGGCTCGGTGCTGCAGGGAGTGCAGCAAGGTCTCGCCGGAACTGTGGTGTCCGGGGTCGGAAACCGGCTGCATCTGCAACAGCAACCGCCTCATCTACGTCCAACCGACGCCGAGGAACGAGTGATGCTGTACGTTCGCCAGGAGTCCGAGGACGTGTACACACCGCTGCACGTTACACCGCCGACCGTTCAAGGATTGTTGAACGCTGTAAGAAATGTCAAGGATTTTTATTATCGAACATTGCACATCCAACACACCGACACTCGCAATTAGATAAATTGCACGCGGTCAGATCACTCATTGCCGCTTGTTTAAAAATGTTTAGAAATTTACATCGAGGATCGTGTTTGATTAATCGTACTATTTAGAATTTATCAAAAGTCGTAGCGAATAGATGCGTCTCTCGTTGCGAGAGAATATGCATCGGAGTTGAAAGTTGTTTCCATGAGGATTTCTCTTTGGAAGAGAAGTTCCTTGAAAATGAAATCTCGAGATCGGGATCATATTTTATTTCATTTTATCACTTGTTTCGCCGCAGGATATTTATAGCACTTGTCGTAAACGCGCGGTGGAACGGATAAGAAGTAGAAATTTATAGATAAACGCGGTAGACACGATCGAAAAAGTTGCAAGTCGACGTAATCGACGTCGAAGCTTCGACACTTCTTGGATCGGGTTTCTAAAGGGGAGGAAAATGGAGGAAATTACGCGAATCCCGCGGAATGCTCGCAGAAATGACAGTTGGAACGTTGTTGCATAAGTTGTCAGCCACGTTGAGCCCAGGTGCGTTCGAGAGCGGCGATATCAGTTTGATTCAAGGTCTATCTCTATCTCTACTGACAAATATGATAGAATATTTCGAAACCAGTACGGTAACAAATCTAACGACTAGAAAGTGACATACGGAACGTTTCGACGTTTAACCTGGCGATATCTTGACATGGCCAATTAATTACATTTTCACGAGATCGTATTCGATTCGACATATCCCTGCTATGAATAATGAGTGATGCGCGAGGATAACGCAAAATATACACGAGAAACACACACACGCATATACATACATACATATATATATATATAGATATAAATATTAGCTGTGCATGAAGTGAAGGCATACTACACCATTTTATTAATATCCTATTGCACCGTTTCATTACGCTGATAATAATATTAACGCGCATGCATCACTCCTCCAAAATCCTCACAATAATTAATATGGATCGGAGCGCGATGAATCACACGCGCACGGATCATTAACCCCTGTGATCGCGAGAAACGATCGATGGTTTCAACGTTAGAGGTGCCGATATTTTATTTCTTTTTTTTTTTTTTTTTTTTTCTTACTTTTTAACATTGGACATTATTGACACGTAATGCGAGGTCGTATTGTTTCAATAACGATCAGATGTGGCAGAAGAAAAAAGTGGAAAAGAAAACCATCTCTCTCTCTCTTTCTTTCTCTCTTTCTCTGTCTCTTTCTCTGTTACCTCCTTTCTCTCCCTAATTTATAAATTTGTCGCTTCCGCAGAAACGATTTCCATTTCTCCATGCAGATCGATCGTGCTAACCAATTTCCATTGAAATTGATTCCGTTCAACGAATGATTTTCACAGACAACGAGAGATCTTTTTTTTCTCTCTCTCTCTCTCTCTCTCTCTATATATATATATAGTCTTCATTTTCTTTTTTTTTCCAAGTTATATCTACTCAAGTGTCTTTTCCTTTTTTTTTTTTATCCATCAATGTTTTCAATCTCATTCTACTCTCGATATCTGTCTTTTCAATAAGCGCCGCGTCACGTCGTTACGAAAGATAGAAAAGAGATAGTTGAAGAAAAAAAAAAAAAAAAAAAAGACTCTTCGGTTATCGAGCACGAGTGCCCAGACCGATGGTCCGCAACCACTGTCAAAATTCTAATGTTCTACTTTTTTCTATTTTACAGATTGAGTCAAAGTACAAAATTGCATCCTCGAGTATTAATAACCTCTATCGCAAAAACACAAAGGGGTAAGTTTAGTAGAGTGTCAACATTGGACATTATTGACACGTAATGCGAGGTCGTATTGTTTCAATAACGATCAGATGTGGCAGAAGAAAAAAGTGGAAAAGAAAACCATCTCTCTCTCTCTTTCTTTCTCTCTTTCTCTGTCTCTTTCTCTGTTACCTCCTTTCTCTCCCTAATTTATAAATTTGTCGCTTCCGCAGAAACGATTTCCATTTCTCCATGCAGATCGATCGTGCTAACCAATTTCCATTGAAATTGATTCCGTTCAACGAATGATTTTCACAGACAACGAGAGATCTTTTTTTCTTCTCTTTCTCTCTCTCTCTCTCTCTATATATATAGTCTTCATTTTCTTTTTTTTTTTCCAAGTTATATCTACTCAAGTGTCTTTTCCTTTTTTTTTTTTTATTCCATCAATGTTTTCAATCTCATTCTACTCTCGATATCTGTCTTTTCAATAAGCGCCGCGTCACGTCGTTACGAAAGATAGAAAAGAGATAGTTGAAGAAAAAAAAAAAAAAAAAAAAGACTCTTCGGTTATCGAGCACGAGTGCCCAGACCGATGGTCCGCAACCACTGTCAAAATTCTAATGTTCTACTTTTTTCTATTTTACAGATTGAGTCAAAGTACAAAATTGCATCCTCGAGTATTAATAACCTCTATCGCAAAAACACAAAGGGGTAAGTTTAGTAGAGTGTCATCTTTACTTGCATGCACCGCCCACACAGTAGTGCATGCCATAACGGTGACATTGCCTGACTCTCTCCGTTTGCCTGGTTTGCTAGTCTATCCTTACTTCCAAAACCTCACACCACCTTGCTGCACCTCGACTACATACCAATCGATAGATTATTTTCTACGTCTTTGCCCACATCTCTCTCTCTCTCTCTCTGTGTGTCTCTTCCTCCAATTGCTTCTTTTTCTGATTGCTACTGCTGATCTCTCTCGTCGTCTCATTTATTTTTTTTCTTTTTTTTTTTTGTTGTTCGCATATCACCCTGCAGAATCCTTGTCGTTGGCCACACACCGATTCGACAACATCCGACGCGAGCTTCCTTCGACTTTACACTCGACTAATCCACTAATCTCTCCCCCCGTGTCCTTTATTTTTCTTCTGTCACAACTGCTCACGCATATTCGTTTGCTCGCTTTCTTACACGATACTTCTTACCCAGATCAACCAGCATGTCACGTATATCTCTCAAACCTCATCACGCATACTCACTCTCATTTCACTCTCGTTTCTCTTCACTCTTCATTCGGGAATGGGAAGATTATTTGTTCTTTCCTCTTCGCGCGGAATGGAATCACGTTTGTTTGCCATTTTGTTCTTCGACGTTCTTTGGAACCGTTGCGTTGATGCGAGATATTTGGAATCATTTCGATGCAAATTAATCGATGATATTAATTTTCTTTATCGATAAAAACATAAAAACATCAAGGTCTGTCGTACCACGAACGCGAGGACCAAATAGATTCTCGTACTCTGCTTAAAATATATCGATCAATCGTAACACGAAAGCCTATAATATAGAGGCAGAATGCGATAGACTTCTTTCCTCGTTTTCACTCTTCTCCCCTTAATACAAAGAAACACAAAGAAACCCATACGTATGATCTCTCATTGTGTCATCATTGTATCGTTCGAAACGTTTCGCTATTAAGATCAATCTTTATCGAGCCTTTCGATTTCTCTTTTTTCACTGTTCGTTCGTTTCCAATATATTCGATTTTAAGCAGGGTTTTAACCTAGTTTTCCTCCGCTGGCTCTCCCCTCTTCAATCATCATTTTTTCTCCTCATGTTACAGAATTACAGCGAAAATTGACGACGATATGATCCGATATTACGTGGACGAGGACCTGTTCCTGCTGGAGGTAACCCATTCCCGAGTGCCGAATCCAGATCCGAGCAACGAGCGCAATCCGGCCAATCCTGGATCACCTGGTGATCCTGGTGATCCGAATGATCCACCTGCCACCGCGGGATACGACGTCACCCTGATCGAATTACCCTCAGCGTCGGCGCACATTGCTCACTCGCCCCTCAATTCCGCGCATGGCCACGCGCACGTTCACGAGAGCGGGAACACGTGAACCTTTCGCCTCATCGAAAGCGCAAAGAAGAGGAAGAATGTAATTACATCGTACGTGGCTCTCGCCGTTTCGTGTAAATAAGTCTGAGAGAGGGAGAAAGGCAACTGTCGATGATCGCGAGAAATCGTCGACACGGTGCAATGTAACAAGAATTATTGGACAGTTCGACCAGAAAATGCTCTTCAGGGACCTGCGTTTGAAGAAATCGCGTCGAGTGCAAGTGCGAGAAGGAGAAGAAGAAAAGTGGAAGATAAAGAGAAGAGGATTTCGGTGAATGATGAATAATTAATTGCCACTTTACCCCACCAGTGCTTAACTTTAAGAAAAGAAAACTTACTAGAAGAAAGAAAAGAAGAAAAGAAGAGAAGATGTCCGACGAGTTATCCACGAGTTTGGATTATGTGTAAGCCGAACTTAAACACGAAGGAAACACGAGAAGGAAATTCGCAACTGTTCTTCGTATCGTACAATAGACAAGAAGTCAAAAAAAGGGAAAGAAAAACAATCGTTAGTTGATAGTGATCGTCTTGTGTAACGTTTTGAATGATCGTGTCTGTTAGATCGATATACAGATAGTTTCAACGATGTAGAGAATTTCGTGGATACAGGGTGATGTTTGATCGATTCGAATACAATTGATTTCGAATAGATATACAAAACTTTATATTTTTTTTGTATGCTTGAAATTTTTTTCGTGAAAATACTTGTTAGTATATCAATTACTCTTCGATCGAAGAATTTTGTAATTCAAAGAAGAAAAAAAATAAAACATACCTCGTATGCACGAAATGTAGCGATTGAACAATCTGTATACGCGTAAACATTTTTAATACGAAGCATAAAATCGCGAAGAAATATATTTCTAATCAAGGCAAGGCGACTCGTTTTTTATATTATAATTTTTTTTTTTTTGTTGTTTTCATTTGTGAACAATTTATATCGATGGTTGTTAGCTTATAGAGTACCGTTGGCATCGTAATTGAAACACGATGGCTACATGTAAATCAATCAAAATTGATTTAAGAAATTCCCGCCCCTATCCCCGTTAAATATTAAGTTATTAGATTTATATATATATATATGTTATATATATATATTACATACGTATGACGTATAGATGTATATGATAAAAAAAAATGTCACTCTATTTTATTGTATCGTCGGTTTTAGAGTTTAAATACTTGTTTATACGTTTAGAAAAACCGATGGTCGGTGTTTCGACCAATCGACGTGCACGGAGCAAGCTTATTTTATACCAAGACTTGTACGTAGAGATAGGAGTATAACTTTGAACGTCGCCATTCCAAGATAGACGGGTGCCATCGAGCATTTTTATCTCTTTATAATATTGCGCTCATACACGTTCAGCTATATGTAAGTTCTGTTAATTCTTGATTAAGATTCTCGAGCGGACTCAACAGTTTCATTCACCATGTTTGAACATTCAAAGATTCTTATTTCACATTTCCAAATATTAATTTCCAAATCGAAGGAACGTTTAAACGTTTCTCCTTTTTTGCATCAACTGTTGATTTTTATATCATTATTATTATTATTATTATTATTATTATTATTATTATTATTATTATTATTATTTATATACGGAAATTAATCGAAAATCTATTGAATAGTATCGATTTAATATCCCTTAAATATTTTGCAATTATTTCAGAATCCTCTTGAGTATCCCAGGATCGTTTGATATACAAAGAACAAGTATTACTCATTTGAAATACGTACGTACTTTTTTCTATTTTTTCGTCGAGATTTAAATAGAAGAGAAAATATACGTTCATCCGCCGTAGCGGACATCATTGCAACAAATATTGCAATATTTAAGATAGACAAATACGTTGTATCGGTATCTTAAGAACATTATTTCCTTGAACGTTAGACAACTCTTTGAGAACAGATATTTCCATAGCGTGAAATTCCCTGAAAAAAAATACATAAATGAAATAAGAACTTTAAAGAATATATTTTATTAAAATGATTTTTAGAGAATATATATAAATTCACATAATTAAAAATTATATTATAAGTTCTCGAAGGGTTTTTATTTTAACATAGTAAGCCCCGTGAAACCCAAGTTTATCTTGATTATGGCAAAAACAGAATATACAATGATCATAACCAATGATTCTCTGCAACGTCGTAGAATCTGAAACGAGCGGCAAGATATATTAAAAATTGTCAATAATCTTTGGTTGTATTTATCATTTTTTTTTTTCTTTTTAAGATGAGACAACATTAACGTGCCACTGATATATAAAAACGAACCATCTCGTCATCACACACGTCGCGTGATTTTTATTGTAAAATTGCACATTTCGTGCACACGTATACATACACGTACACACATTTACGCACATACGCTCATCTTATTAAAAATTAGTAATTAGTTCGCATTTAGGTTGGACTAGAATGCATCGCGATCATGACACATCACTGTTGTCTTCATTTTTGTCTTATGTGAAAAGGC